GAAGGGTAATCCAGAGTTGACACTGGTACACAAGAGAAGTTACCCTGGAAAGAGTTTTTCAGAGAAGAGGAACGAAGGAACAGAAGAAGGTTTGAGAGATGTCTACAAAGAGCACAGCCTGATCGAAGTGATAACGGACTGAGACTGGGCAGCAGATCGAGAGACAAGGCAAAGCGTATCAGGTGGAGCGATCATGCTGAATGGAAATTTGATTCATTTCCAAAGCAAGAGACAGAAGAGCATTGCGCTAAGTTCATGTGAAGCTGAGACAGCAATTGCAGCGACTTCGATATTGTCTGAAGCAGTGTTCTTGAAAGGATTGCTGGAAAGGATCCTAGGAGTTGAGCCTAAGCTAGTGTTGTTTTCAGATTCATCAAGCTCAAGGCAGCTTATCTCAAGAAAAGGTTTAGGCAAGGTGCGGCATTTAGATGTCGACCTCCTTTGGATACAACACATCCCGAAGCTTATCATAAAGGCGATAGCGGGTAAGAACAACCCCTCGGACCTAGGGACCAAATCCCTGTCCCTCGACAAAATACAGAAATACATGGTCATACTCGGCTATGTAGGTGGACTTCCTTGATGACGAAGTACAAGAAGTGCAGGATGATCTAGTGAGAAGAGCAAGTGCAAAGAGCGGAAAGATGAAGTTCGATGAGAAGCTGATTACAAGGATTATCCAAGCGGTTACGACCGGAGTGTTGGTGAGCTTATGTGAGGCCAAGGAAGAACAAGTTGAAGAAGAAGTTGCACAAGGACTGAAGCTGAATGTCATGTGTGGCATGAGCATTGTTGTTATGTGTGTTATGTGCATTGTCGCGGCCATTTGCAGTTCAAGCTCTAGGGAAGAGCTGAAGGAAGAAAGAAAGGAAGAAAAAGAGAAGAAGAGATGGCGGACGATAATTCGCTCAAGATCATGATTCGCGATGATTGCAAGAGCATCCAAAGTGTGACGTTCTGCCAGAAGCAGCTGAAGCGGGATCGAGAGGCCCGCCTGGGCATAGATGAGATTTGGAAGGAAGTCCAGCAGTTGAATAAGATGAGAGAAGATGCCCCGACACCTCCAAGAGAGGATACGGCTGAAGAGGTTGGAAAGCAGAAGGAAGAAAGCGAGGCAGGAACAGAGCCTGAGGATAGTGAGAGTGAAGAAAGAGAACACGATGAGAGCTCAAGTGATGATGAAAAGAAAGAAGGAGAAAAGGAAGAGGAGAAAACCGAAGGGAAGGTGGAAGTCCCACCGGAGTTCAAGAAGACTGGAGACGAGATCACAGCCGAGGCTGAGCAAGCAGCTTTGATGGCAGAAAAGATCGAAGAGCTTAAGCAGAAAGGAGAAGCAGCAAGTGGAAGAAGAAAAGATTTGGTGGAGAAGGCCAAAGAAGTTTCCGCGAAGGAGAATGAGGCCGGTGAAGAGACGGAAAGGGCCGACGAGAGCGCAAAGCCAGAAGAAGAAGGAAAAGATGAAGAAACAAAAGTTGAAGAGAGCACAGAGGCTAAAGAAGCGGCAGAGAACAAAGAAGCTGACGAACCAGGTGACGAAGGACCAAGCATCATGGACTTAAGACGAGGATACGACCCCGTGTCGGATTCGATGTGGGAAGCTGTGTCGGATCGAATAAATGTGCGGACCCTGGAACAGAGATTGCCGTCAGAAAGCCTAGTGCGAGACTTCATAGTCTTAAGGGAAACAGTGCAAAGGCCAATAGCCAACTTGCCGGTTGGTTACTTGTTGAAGATGAACAGCCTGAAAGACAAGCTGTCGGATGCAGCACAAGAACTTGAAGAATCGTGGACGATATTTGGAGAAGACGAAGTTCGCGGTGAAAGGCAGTTAAAGACACCGGAGACCAACTACGACGCTTTTGTGATGGAACTCCAAAAGGAAATGGAGCAGAAGCTCGATGCAAGGAGAACACAGATGGATTCGGTTAAAGAAGAGATAGAGGACTCAATGAATCGAGTGAATCAAGTGATGCAGTCCAAGCAGTGCGATGAGGCATTTGCTGAGATAGTCGGTAACACTCAGGTGTGTATCGGAGAACTGCTGAAAGCGTTTCCGCACCTGGAACGCCTAAGGGAGCAGCCAGATGAACATGTGGAACGCAAGCGCAAAGGCCTAGCTGAAGTGCTCAGACTTGCAAAGATGAGGAAGGAAGCAAGTGCGACAGCATCGGCGGCTGGTACGCCGGGAGGAAGGAGCATAGCGAGCGTAGGAAGTGATACGAAGGATGAGAAGGGTGAAGGAAGGGAGATCCAAGAGAAGAAGAGGCCGAAGCCACTGGCAGAGGCAAAAGCTGATGAAGAGAACCAAGCTGAAGATGCTACCAGAAAGGTTGAAGAGTTGGAAAGGAGACTCGATGACAAGTTTGCTGAAACAACGGTAAAGGGAACTGACAAGCCAGCAGAACCGCAGGGGACACCAAAGAAAAATCAAGAAGGTACACCAAGAAGAGAAGGAGGCGAAGCTCCGTGGTGGCAGAAGGATATTGCATGTTACTACTGCAAGCAGCAGGGTCACAAGAGTCAGTTTTGCAAGAAGAGGTTAAGTCATGCCCGCGCTGAGTGCGGATGGCTACCAGACCCAGCTGACAGAGCTAAACCGAAGCACATGTGGTGCAGGAATTGCTGGATAAGACAAACCAAGATCCAGAAGTTACCGATGGAGCAAGCCCGTCTGAAGATGACGGGGTGGGGGGCTCACAGCCCAGATATTTGCCACTGGAAAGCTGAAGTGGCGGCTTTCGAAGCAAGTGAAGAAAAGAAAAGGAAACCCAATCCAAGTTGGGGTCAGGAGAATCTGGTTAAGAAGCTGAAGAAGCCTGATGACAAAGAAAAGCCAAAGGTGATTAGGATCGATGACGATGGTGACAAGAAGGCGGATGATAAAGGAAAAGACACCGCAATTCTGAGATCGTTAGGTGGGTGGCGTGGGAGCAACTGCAAAAATTGCTCCGAGCGTCACTCAGTAAGCCCAAGCCGGGATGCCGTTGCAACGAAGTGTGCCTTCTGTCATGCAGGGCGTGTGAACCGGAAATCTTTCACCACGGATGCTATGCAAGTTCCGGTTGATTGGGCTGCCAAGGCCATGTGCGGATTCTGGCAATTTAGCAGCAGCCTTGCCACCAGCGTTCCGTCGGGGAGGGGACAAGCGGCAGCGCTTGCGGGATCACTTAGGTGGGGCATCCACGGAACCAGCCTCATGCTGAACAGATTTAAAGGAAGGCACGTGTCCTTCACTGATGATGGTCAGGTTGCAAGAGCACTGCAGAAGATGAAAGAAAAGGTGAAAGCGGTGCCGGTTCAAGCAAGGACCATGAGAAGAAGGATGAGAAAAAGGGCACCAAGACCAAGGATGAACAAAGATGATCGCAAGAAGGACAAGAAAGGAAGAAAAGAAGAAGACGGAGAAGAAAAGAAAACCTGAGAGCCCCGAGAAGAAAGAAAAAGGGACCGAAGGCAACCACAAAATCGATTGAAGGAAAAGTCCAGCACCCATGTACGCCTATGCGAGAAAGGTGATTTTTCAAGAAGACCCAGACCGTGAGGGCGCAAGCAAAGAAGTTTCACTTAGCATGCGAGAAAGGCTGTATGCTTACTTGCAGATGCTAACGGAAAGCCACGGATAACCAAAGGCCGTGCAAAATGAAGATTGGTTCAATAGTCTACGACAAAAGCACAACGATAGCCAAAAGGCTAAGCTGAGGAGTGAGGTTAGCCAATCAAAGGCAGCACCAGACTACGGCGTCGACTGCGACGTGAAAAAGGGAGTGAGTGCAGCCTGCTTTTAGTTTCGGATAGGTTTCTGAAGCGACAGTTTCATTGAAATTTCCCGTTACAAGACTTGACATCCACGACAAGCGAAGATGAAAAGAAGGATTATGGTTAAAGTGAAGATGACGCTCAAAGGAGCATGCGATAAATGGCAAGGCTCTCAGTGAGCATGAGACAATGGTGAAGTGGATGGAAGGTAGAAATTGTTTGATGATCGAATCAAGTTGTACAATACAACGTAATGAACATGTCAATTTCCTGTGTATGCTCAATTTAGCTAGTTTCACTGCATGTGTCCGTAGGTCAAACGACGGCTCAAGCACAGCGGGAAAACAGTGTGGGCCGCCCGTGAGTTGACAAGGGATTAGAAGTTGACGTTGGTAAAAGGTTTTAAGCTTTCACCATGTCACCCATGCTCCAACACGTGGGCAGATCAGCTCACACATTTTGATTTTGAGGGGTTCTCCCCTGAACGTAGGAAGGATGTTTCAGAAGTTTGGACCCCATCCTGGATGGTCCTCGATAAGCTTCTTGACCACGGGTTGCCTCTGGTACCCGGGGTTTCTTTACTGGCAGGGACCCGGTGAGTACAGTTGCCTCAGGCGCTGATTACCGCGGGGTTCCCTGACCTTTTTATGAAAATTGGGAGCGTTGCTCCTCGCGGACTCTCGGGGCTCCTTGCTTCCTGTCTTCGGAATCTCGGACCGGATTGGGGGTTGTGAAACTCCCTTTGGATTAATCCGTTTGGGGGGCTGGCGTGTTTTCCGACTCCGGACCTGTCTGAAGCTATGCCTGCCCCGGGTCCTTCGGAATTTTGATCTGATCTACCACTTCTCGGCTTTCGGCGTGCTGGTTAAAAAGTCCCTTTGAGGGCGTGCTGCTTTAGGGTCTTTTACTTCTGGGCATGTGGCTGCACTGCGACATATGTATATATACATAGAAATGTGATCGAGTTACTTCGGTCATGGAGGTAATGTGCTATATTTATAAGAAAGTATTACAACCAGACTTAACAGTATGGAGTATAAGTATAACAGCACGTCGTGCGCCCACATGCGCCCACGCAAACTGCTCCTCTTGGCGATGTCGGGAAGACGAAAGGCGCGCAGCCGTTCGCGCTTGAGATTGGCTTGAGCGACAGGTTCCGAGCTTGGCACAAAGGGTTTCCGTTTCTCGAGGCCGTCACTGCCGGCGAGCACCCTGATCAGCCCAAGTACAACGGCGTTGTGCTGATGGCCAGCCTTGCCTTTGCATCTTCCGCCCATGTTGGCTGGTTCGATCAGGCAACGGTGAAAGGAGATGTGCACGACATTGCCAAGAACATCCTGGGAGTTGCCCTGGGCTGCAACAACTTCAAGGCCTGTGCTGAGGTTGCTGGAGCCAGGTGAGGCCTGGCTCTTGGTTGGTGAACCTAGGTGATCGACATGGGTGTAATGGTGCCCTGCGAAACATCTTGGAGGAGGCTGTCGAGGACGCACATGAGCCAGCGGAGATGCGATCACCGAGTAGATCTCGTAGCACAGATGTGTGCGCAGCAAAATCGCAGGAGAAAGTGGGTGTCATTGGACTTTGCGGGCCTGCCTCTCGGTCTTGACTTCTGGCGATTCGAGAAATCAGGCTTCGCGCTGAGGCTCATCACACCCTCCTTGGAGATGGTATATGTCGCTGTCCGTGCCTCAACTGCTCAGCTGTCCGGATTTGCGATTTGCTACACACCGCCCCGCTGTCCAATCTCAGGAGCAGATGAAGGCGCGTGGCATGAAGGTGACCCACTGCCCACTGCGTGTGTCTTGCTAAAAATGGGGGGGATGTGCTGCTTTTCCTCGGGTGCCAGGTGCCGTTGATGATTGGTGGCGCCACCACATCGAAGCGGCACACGGTGGGGCGCCCGAAGAGTGGATCTTAGAAGACAACTTGGAACCCAGCACCATGAACGGCAACAAGGCGGTGAAGATCACCACTAAGTACAACAACGCGTGATTCACGTCGGTACCTCGGGTCACAGCCGGCAGCCGTCCACCAGTAGCATGGCATGCACGTCGCACAGGTCCTGGATGCGAGCAGAAGCTGCACCGTCGTGAGTGCACTGATGCTGGCTTCTCATCTTCGCAGCTGTTCAGAGTGCAAACAGCCTGAGCTGTACCACACGTATGTCCAGGGTATATCGGTGTCATAAACGGCAGGGGGACATGAATTGGAAAGTCAGAGGCCGTTTCTTTGCCGGATCCTCAATCCGTGGATCGCAGACGTGAACCCTGTCGGCCGACAGCTTCAACTCATGCAACGAGCAGCACACCACACAGCAAATGGCTGTGCAACACCAAAGGCATCCAGAGACGGCTAACAGACAATAAGCCTGTCGCAGAAGGCTAGGTGCACAGACTCGAGTCAAGGTCTGCCTTACTGTTGTGTTCGCCAACTTGCTGCTCCGGCTGACCACGTCCGTGGACAAACAAACGTATCTGGACCAGATCAAGGAGGAGCACGGTTGCAGCGGGGGCACTGCTGGGAGAGATCGCGGGTTGCGAGTCGTGGCAGCCCCAGGAATATGCGGAAATCAGGGTTGAATACTACGCGACTTTGATCGACAAGAAGTGGAAGTCGCTGAAGGAGGCCCTTAAACAAGACTTGACCCTCGGACGAGAGCAAGCATGTTGCCCGCGGTTTCAGGCGCAGTCCAAGAAGCCACAGCTGGACTGGGGCAAGCTGCCGCCGAAGCCGTCATGCTGGCACTCTTGCCTCCGATAGCTTGCACATCGTATCATAGCTAAAGCAGCTAAAGTCTGAGCGACCGAAGCCGGGTCACGGGCCAGGAAGTTCGTCGGCAACCTTTGCATCAAGGTCTGTGGACCCTAGGTATTTGGGAGCAGCACCTGTTTGGGCATGAAAACGTAGGTGTGGGAGAAAGTCTGTTGTTATGTTCGCATATTTCTCCTCAATGTGGCAGTTCAGGAACGGCGGGCAGCGTGTGAGTCATGACCCATCCCAAAGTCCCAAAGTAGATGCTGCCTCGTTTTGCATGCACATTGTCAAGGGAGGGGGCGCGTTTAAGATACATGATATGATGGACCGGAACCGCCAGCGGCAACAGATGCAACAGCCTGCATCTAATGAAACTTGGAACTTGAAAGGTGCTGTGCATAACATGGCTTCTGTGCCCTTTCGTTCTCAGCTTTAGGTGCTTGCAGCCGTTTATGTGCTGATGCTGAACTTCAGGAGAGTAATTGCCGTAACGGTCACCGGCTGACCGCAACAGGAACCTGTAACAGGAACAGGGGCCATGGCGGTAACGGCAACAAAGAGTTTCCGTAACAGCTCCGGGAGGAGGGCTGGTAACAGGAACCGGCCGCACGACTGGAGTGTCAGCCTGCCTTCCCATCCAGACCCGGCAACCCCCGCATCTCGAGGCGAGGGGAGGGGTTGCCATGAGCCGGTTTTCTTTCTTATATGTGGAAGAAGTCGTGAGTCGTCTCGCCATTATACACCTCAGCATTCCGCTGGACCCCAAACCAAGGAGACACTTGCCTAATGTTCGCTTTGAGTCCAAGTAGGGACGGAATTCTATTATTCTGTGCTTCTTGGGTTTAAAGATTTTACCGACACCCTGGGCCCGACTCCCTGAGGCCGCTCCGAAGATTCTACTACCCTTTGAAATCCCAGCCCGCCACCCCCCCCCCCCCCCCCCCATTCGAGGCGCGAAGGGGGGGGGGGGGGGGTGCCCTGAGACTGTTGAACGGCGTGGCAGCCGCAGTTTCTGTTAGGTGGTTTTCTCACAGCCGCAGTTGCTGTTACACTCCGGGGGCGGTTCCTGTTTCTGCTCGCGCCAGTTGCCGTTACTGCTTGCTGGTGCGGTTTCCGTTACTGCCCAAACTGGTTCCTGTTACTACCCGCACCCAACTTCAGGACCATTGAAGCCGACGCCACCTGTGCATCACGAGGTTCCATGCTAAGTTACTTTGCGCAGGTGTGCCCTGCCCCTGTGGCTCTCTGAGATGCTTTCAATGGTGGCCTCAATCCGAGACAACTGTTGCCGGGGCCATAAATAGTAGCTCTGAACAGCTTGCGGAAGATTCTTGCTGAAGACAAGCCCCTTGACTGAGCATTCTGACTGTGCGATTCTGACCCGCGACGTTCTCAGCTTTGCGGGTGTTGGGTTCCAAGTCTGCCCGCAGATCGGCAGGCTTTTGCATGGTCTGTTGGACTTGAGGCCAATCTTGGAGGAGTTTGCGGGCTGGTGCCAACAAGCAGAAGCTCCCTTTCAGGCCTGGTTTGTGACATCCAACTCACGGCATGTCGCTTGATCGCGTTGGCTCATGAGGCCCAGCTGTGAAGCCGAAGGCCGGTCGACAAGGGCTGGAGAGCTAGAACTGTGCTGGAACTGTGCAGGCGACACCGCAGAGTCAAGATGCGTTGCATGGGGGTTCTTGGGTCTCAGTGTGGATTCCTGGATAACAGGTGGCTCCGGCCCGGCAGGGACGATCAAGGCAAGCCAGCCTGCACTGCACCGGCAATGTGCTGTCTTCTCTTGTGCTTCCAGTCGCAGCCAGCATGTCGGCAACGCTGCGAGCTCTGGATCCAAGGAGGAGCCGCTGGTCGAATCCATATTGGCGCCTGTCGCACCTGTTGCAGGCACCACACCTGTTGCAGGCGAGCAGGATGTCCGACTGAAGATGGTCAAGAACAGCTCTTCTGAGGAGGCTGCAGCAGCAGTTCCTGTGGGCTTCGTGCGATCTTGGTGACCATGAAGCATCGTTCATTCGGTGTGCCCGCGTCTAGGCTGTGCCCGCTGAAGAGGCAGAGGCAAGGACGGGCTGCCTGGCATTGCTGTGAGATTGCTGGAGATTCAGGCAGTAATTCTTGTGGGCAGGTCTCCTTGCTGGTGCGAAGCTCATCAGGCCGTGCCTTTGGTCCGTGTGCTTTGCATCTGGGATTGTTTGTGAGCCGGAGGAGGGGGCTTCAACAGCAGTGCCGGAGCCCACACGCTCGCATCGCAACCGGGGCAGATGGCAGAGTGTCGAATGATTGAGGTCTGCAAAGACAACGCGGGGTTTGGCAAGTGCGACCGAGGAGTATCTTTCAAAGCATGAAGTGGTGAGCTCAGTGCCACCGAGCATATGTTTAGTTGTTAATGTATGTGGCATCCCACTCCTGCCTGTGCGTGCCGTCAATGTCTCCGTGTGTGTTGCGTCTGCAGGGCCGAAACGTGAGCTTTGAGGAGGTGGGAGCCTTCAGGGCTGCCTTGTTTTGAAGAACACAAAAAAGGGGGATTTCCGAAAGCCATTGGGCGTCGTTCTTCTTGTTTACCAGGGTCTTGCCATTGATTGGTCTTTCTGGGAGCCTTCCCGCATGTGTTTGTTGAGCAATGGCTGGAGTTTGAAATGCGCGGGCTCAGCTCCATCAGGTAGCGAACACATGTGAACAAGACTCCGGCAGCGCGGGGGCATTCGGACGTCTGCGCATGCTTGCGCATATACACTAGTAAATTTCAGAACTATGGCATGTAGGGAACCAGCCCGAATGCAACGAAGACTGCTCGTACTCTGCGTTCATTGTGTGTTTCACGCTCTCCCCTCCTGCCACCACCACTGCAGCATCTCAGTTCCATAGTTCACACAGCGCGTGCATCGGCCATGCAGCCTCATAAGAGGCAACGCTTGGAAACAGGCTTGAGCCTTGCCCAGGTCATCCGCAGCTTTGGAAGCCCAGAGCGTCCATCGCAGGAGGGCTTGTGTGCGAAGCAAGAAGAAGAGCCGCACACAAAGGAGGAGGTGGATGAGGAGGAGGAGGAGGATGTTGGTGCGGAAGAGGTTGTAAAAGAGGAGCCTGAACCTAAAGAGGAAAGCGTTGACGCACAGGAGGATCTTGCTGAACCTAAAGAAGAAAGCCTTGAGGAAGAGCTGGCATGGAAGGAGGAGGATGATGAGGAGAAGCAGGAAGAGGAGGAGGAGGGCATTTATTCTCAAAGTACCGCTGCTGGAACATCGACCTCTGCCTCGCAAATTTTGTCACAAGCATCCTGGCAACCGTTGTCACAGGACTTGGAGGCCACGGAGCATGGCCTGGAACTGGCGGACGCAGCAAGCATGCAAGAGCCTCGTGGAGGCTTCGCAGATCTCAATCCGGAAGAGAAGGAAAAACTTTTGACTGTGTCTGAAAGCCTCACGAGAGAGATAGGTATGAAGGCTTTTTACACGTTCGATGTCCGGACATGCCGTGAGGACTTGAAGAAATTGGTGCACACCTTCTTCTCCAGGTACAGGCAGACAGAGTCGGAGGATCACTACTTCGACACGGAAGCAATCTATCAGAACAATCAGTGGAGGTTTGCATCAACATTGACGACGCCTTCCTTCTACGGGCGTAGTTTTCGAGGCCACCCGATGCTGCTTCGCAGTATGGCGGAAACCTCTGCTTGTAGGACATTCCTGGAAGATGCAGAGGCTCGCGAGATTTCCAGGTGGCTTCCGCCACCTTCCAGAGTACTGCGAAGAGAGATCTTGGCAAAGTTCAACAAAGACTGGAAGGAGGCTATGCTTCAGCGGGGCATCCGTCCCAAGCTAGTTCAGCAAGAAGCTATCCAAGCGCTTTCCGAGAAACTTAGGTCTCTGGGCTGTAGGCTGGCTTTGTGGGATGGTAATGCCTGAATGCCGCACCTGCGACACCCCGCTCGTTGCACGGAAAAGGCTTGCAGTTGGCACTCGGGCTTCAGAGAGGCAGTGCAGAGCATAAAGTAGCTACCGTAGCTCGCAGAAGCTCGAAGTTTCAGTCAGTCGCCATCTTTGATGTACTGGATCCTCAGGGTTTAGAGGTTAGGTTTAAGCCGTATTCCATGTTGTAGCTGGTTTAGGATTTGGGGTTGATTTCTAGGTTTGGTGCCAAACCCTGAATCCCAAAACCCTCACATTCTCAACCTGACACCCCAAACCCTAAAACCGAAACCCTAGACAGCCCCAAACCCTCAACCCTACACCCTAAACCCT